CCCGTCTCTACTAAAAAAATACAAAAATTAGCTGGGCACAGTGGCTCGTGCCTGTAATCCCAGCGACTTGGGAGGCTGAGGTAGGAGAATTGCTTGAACTGGGACCCTGGAGGCAGAGGTTGCAGTGAGCCGAGATCAAACTACTGCACAGCCTGGGCTACAGAGCAAGACTCCATCTCAAAAAAACAAAAAAACAAAAACAAAACAAAACAAAAACCTATATCTATTTGCAGTGATTCCCCATTCTCCTGCAGCCCCCACCACCCCACCGCCAGCTCCTGGAAACCACTTTCTCTCTGTAGATTTCCCTATTCTGGGTATTTCACGTAAGTGGAATCATACACCATGTGGCCTTTTGTGGACGGTTTCTTCCACTGTACATAATGTTGTTAAGGCTGACCCATGTTGCAGCAGGTGCCAGTGATTCATTCCTTCTGAATGATATTTCATTATGTGGATGGACCTCATGTCTGTCCATTCACCTGTCGACGCACATTTGGGCTGTTGCCATCTTTGATTCTTAAAGATAATGCTGTTGTGAACACTCAGGTGCAAGTTTTTGTATGACCCTATGTCCATTTCTCTTGGGTAGATAGACCTAAGAGTGGTGAATGTGTTTTTTTTTTTTTTTATTAAAAAAAAATTTTTTTTGACACCTGTAGTCCCAGCTGCTTGGGAGGCTGAGGCAGGAGAATTGCTCGAACCGGGAGGCGTAGCTTGCAGTGAGCCAAGATCACACCACTACACTCCAACCTGGATAATAAGAGAGAAACTCCGTCTCAAAAAAAAAAAAAAAAAAAAAAAAAAATTTTTTTTTTTTTTTTTTTGAGACAGGGACTCACTCTGTCACCCAGGCTGGAGCGCAGTGGCGTGATCTTGGCTCACCGCAACCTCTGCCTCCTGGGTTTGAGTGATTTTCCTGCCTCAGCCTCCCAAGTAGCTGGGACTATAGGCACGTGCCACCACACTTGGCTAATTTTTGCATTTTTAATAGAGACAGGGTTTCACCATGTTGGTCAGGCTGGTCTCAAACTCCTGACCTCAGGTGATCCACCCACCTCAGCCTCACAAAATGCTGGGATTACAGGTCTGAGCCACTGGGCCCAGCCAGTGAATGTGTTTTTTAAATTAAAAATAAGGTATGTTCTTTTTCATGTATAATTTCTTTCTTTTAATGCTTAAATATTTTTTAATTTGTTAAAGGGCCATGCTAATCTTCTTTGTGTTGTTCCAATTTCTACTATATGTGCTGCCAAAGCCAGCACATGTGTTCTTAATTACAAAAGTAATTCGTTAGAGATCACCAAAGTAACAGATTGGAAACAAGAAAACATTTCTCACCTTTAAAGTCTGTTCCGTTTGAATGTGTGTGTGTAGCTTGATTGAGACACAATTCAAATACCATACAAGGCCAGGCATGGTGGCTCATGCCTGTAATCCCAGCACTTTAGGTGGCTAAGGTGGGAGGATCACTTGAGCCCAGGAGTTCAAGACCAGTCTGGGCAGCATAGGCAGGCCCCATCTATACAAAACAAAATTTGTTTTAGTTAGCCAGGTGTGGTGATCCACAACGATTGTCATAGTTACTTGGGAGGCTGAGGCAGCAGGATCACTTGAGCTTTGGAGGTTGAGGCTGCAGTGAGCCAAGATTGTACCACTGCACTCCAGCCTGGGTAACAGAGCAAGACCCTGTCTCAAAAAAATAAAAATTTTAAAAATGTTCAAAAAGAAGATATTGGCCAGGCGTGGTGGCTTATGCCTGTAATCCCAGCACTTTGGAAGGCCAAGGCCGGTATATCACCTGAGGTCAGGCGTTCGAGACCAGCCTCACTAATATGGTGAAACCCTGTCTCTACTAAAAATAAAAAAGATTAGCCAGGCATGGTGATACTTGCACCTGTAATCCCAGCTACTCAGGAGGCTGGGAGGCTGAGACAGGAGAATCATTTGAACCTGGGAGGCAGAGGTTGTAGTGAACCGAAATCATGGCATTGCACTTCAGCCTTGGCAACAAGAGCAAAACTCTGTCTAAAAAAAAAAAGAAGAAGATATCGAGGCTGGTAATGGTGGCTCAAGCCTGTAATCCCACACTTTGGGAGGCTGAGACAGGCAGATCATCTGAGGTCAGGAGTTCAAGACCAGCCTGGCCAACATGGTGAAACCTCATCTCCATTAAAAACAAAACATATATATATATATGGACAAACCCTTAATGTCCCCAAAGAGATCTGGTGTGTCCCACCCTGCAGATGTGCATTTGCTAACGTTTACTTTCACGGCATGTGACACAGCAATCGTGTGAACGGAAACTGTGACAGCTCCTGCCCTGTGCAGACGGTAGCCTGTATCAGGCCCCTCTGATCCCACATGTGCCTATTAGTAATGACCCATTCAGTGCAGATTAGACATAAAACCAGCTTTGACTTCAAAGGACCAAGCAGCTAAGAGTAAGAGAAAGGAGGAGGATTTTCAGCAGCCGGAGGGAGTGGGGTGTGGGGGGTGGTGGGCAAAGGCATTCAAAGGGCCGGAAACTGTTTCTTTGGCAAAAAAGCAGGCCAAAAAAAAACCTTCCGAAAAAAAACAAAACAAAACAAAACTGGGGAATCATTATATTAAGATGGATGGATTATGGGTGATTTATTTTTAAAAAACTGTTTTAATGACATTATATTGCTATTATAATGTTTTACTACTAAAAAAGATTCTAAGAAGCCACTGAGAATTATTGATGAAAAAGAATGATTTTATAAAACTCAGCAATTCTTAAGAAGAGTACAGCCAAAAAGGCTTTCTTACTCCTTTATAGTTTCTTCCAATAACTGGCCCACCAAGACGGAGGCTGAGCAGGCAGACGGCTACAGACCTAAGGAAAGCTATGACCGTCTCATCTGCAAGAATCAGAGTGCCTTGGAGCACAGAGGAAAAATCAGGTAAGAAAAGACATAAAAGTTTACTCTCTTCAAAATCATTGTTAAAAAAATTAGAAATTGTTGACTATTCATGATTTGTAAGAAAGGCTGCACCTAAATGTTTTTGTTTTGTTTTAATTTTTATATTATAAAGACAAGTTTGCTGTGTCACCCAGGCTGGAGTGCAGTGGTGCGATCATGGCTCACTGTAACCTCGAACTCCTGGGCTCAAGTGATCCTCCTGCCTCAGTAGCTAGGACTACAGGCCACCATGCCCGGCTCATTTTTAAATATTTTTGAGGGTCGGGGTCTTACTACATTGCCCAGGCTGGTCTCAAACTCCTGAGCTCAAGTGATCTTCCTGTCTCAGCCTCCCAAAGTGCTGGAATTACAGGTGTGAGCCACCAGCCCCTGCCCAGTGTTTGCTTTTTCACATATCTCTCTGTGTAAGTATCCAATCTCAAATTATATTTTCTCTATTGCAAAAATAACTCATACAGGCATCCCTTCTTACACAGTGATTGATCGTTCTGATATGTAAGCTCAAGTGTTTTAAAAAGAGTTCCAAAAATAAATAAATAAATAAATAAATAAAAAGAGTTCCACTTACTCTAAAAAAGTACTATGAAATAGAAAAACATACTTGTCTACTCAGAAGCACAGTCCGAGGCGGCAGAATGACTGGCACAGAACCGACTTTCCACTCCTTCACCAAGTGCAGACATTATGAACTGATCACAGCATTCTTCTCCACCAATCTAAAGACTGTCTCTCTAGCCTGTCTATCCCTTTTTATTCTTCAAAAGGCAGCTTCTAGGAGTGGATCAGAGCTGGCATCCAGGAGGGCGAGTGTTGGGTGAGGAAAAAAAAAAAAAAAATCTCTGTGCAGACGCAAAACTAAGGCGCCACCCAGTGGCAGAGCTTTCTAATTGCAGGCACAGTACTTAGGACCAAAGCAAGACAACAGGGCAGTAAATGAATGAATGAATTTAGTCTTCTGTAAATACTTCCCTCCTAGAGAAGAGTCTTGAATTTTAACATGAGTTTTCTTTGCTTCAGCCCACAAGACTGGCTAATAGAAGCCTTTCAGGTGACAGTTGGTAACAAAAGGCCTTTAGAAAACCTCAGACTGCTGGGCTCGGTGGCTCACACACCCGTCATCCCAGCACTTTGGGAGGCCAAGGTGGGCGGATCACTTGAAGTCAGGAGTTCATGACCAGCCTGGCCAACCTGGTCTCTACAAAAATATAATAATTAGCCAGGCATGATAGTGGGTGCCTGTAATCCATCCCAGCTACTCAGGAGGCTGAGGCAGGAGAATCACTTGAACCAGGAGGCGGAGGTTGCAGTGAGCTGAGATCGCACCATTGCACTCCAGCCTGGATGACAGAGTGAGACTGCGTGTCAAAAAAAAAAAAAAAAAAAAAAAAACAAACCCAGAAAACCTAGATTCTTTCCCCAATATCCTCTTTGCCAAAAGCAACCATTCTTGCTGTCCCAGGCCTTGCACCCCCAGCCTGCCCAGATTCCTCACTCTGCAGACTACATGCGACATGTTTTGGATGCAACCTAGATACTGTTTCCTGATCAGTCTATGCCAGGCACTGGGCAAAGAAATGCATGGGCCTCATTTAGATGCTCCTCATAGCAACTTGCCCTGAGACAAGTGCCCTATCCCCATTTTCCAGGTGAACACACTGAGGCTCAGAGAGGGGAAGCAATTTGGCCAAGGTCACTCAGTGTCTCACTCAGGGATAGGCTGGACTGAAACCTCCTCCTGGCCACACTCGGCCTACAGGCCCCACATTGTTAGCCCTGTGCTGGGCTCCTCTTCGACACCAGGCCACCCTTCTCTTGCCCGAGGAGTCCAAGACAGGTCAGCTGTGCCCCAGGAATGTCCCACCAAGGCTGGGCATAAGCAGCCCAAATGGGCCAAGGGGCGCCTGTCGGGAGGGAAAGGGGACAGTGCAGGGCCCCAGGGCTGATCCTGGACCTGCATTATCCTGGCGACTGCCCCAGGGTTCCGAAGCCAGAATTTGAATCTGGCTGCTGCTGGCTGTGCAACAGTTTGCCACCCTCCCTGGCCTCCCTTTCCTGTGCCAGCTCCCTCCTCCAGGGGCAGCTGTGATGATGCATTCAGTCACTCAGATAAAGGCTCAGGGATGGCACGGTGGGGAGCGGGGCAGTGGTCACTCTTTATCTCTGTCTCTAACATTGTCTCCCTGTATGCGTGTGTGTGTCCCTGTACTACTGTCTGTCTCTCTGTCTGTCTTTCCCGCCCCCCTTTTCCTTTTCCTTTTCCTTTCTCCCAGGGGTCAAGGGAGGACACAGGACACAGCCAACATCAGCTTTGTGAGGCCCCAGCTTACAGGCATAGGGCAGACCCTGGCTGCCTGCCAGCCCACCTCCTGGCCAGGTTCCTATCTCCCCTACTCACTGCCCTGAATAGCCTCCACTCAGGTGTGTCCCGAGCAACTGGGAGCCCTGGGTCCTCAGCAGTGGGATCCTGGGAGAGCATGGAGGGGGTCATCTCCCTTAGGAGCCACCCCCACGGCCTCCCAGGGGCTGGGGCCCTAGTTAGAAGAGCTCTTAAATCAGCCCCAACACTTGTGGTTCCTCTGCCCCATGTTTCTCCCTGGAGGTGGAAACCGACATGGAAACCTCTACACAGCACCCAGGAGCACTCCCCAGCTGCAGACAACAGCTCCTGAGACCTCAGGCAACATGTTTTGGATGCAGCCTAGGTACTACTTCCTGATCAGGCTGTGCCAGGCACAGCCTGAACACAGGCGGCCCAAATGAGCCAAGGGGCGCCTGTATGGCAAGGGCTCCTGTTTTACACACACCCCACGCACATACCACATAAACACACACATACCATAGACACACACACACAGGCACACAGACACACATACACAGACATACAGATACACACACTTCGTTTTTAGGGCGAGGGGTGACTATGCCATGCATACTTTTTGACACTAATTTTTTTTTCAAACAGTGCAGAGGGATTCACAATGAAAACTAACACCGGTGGCCAAGGTGGGGGGATCACTTGAGGTCAGGAGTTGGAGACCAGACTGGCCAACATGGTGAAACCCTGTCTCTACTGAAAACACAAAAATTAGCCTGGCGCAGTAGCATGCGCCTGTAGTCCCAGCTACTCAGGAGGCTGAAGCAGGAGAATCTCTTGAACTCAGGAGACAGAGGTTGCTGTGAGCAAAGATTGCACCACTGTATTCCAGCCTGGGCAACAGGGCAAGACTTCATCTCAAGAAGAACAAAAAAAAAAAAAAACCTAACACCGTCAGTCCCTCAGTTCACCTTCCTGAAGGTGGTCAGTTTCTTGTGAATCCTTCTAGAGAAACTGAATGCAGGCCGGGCGCGGTGGCTCAAGCCCGTAATCCCAGCAATTTGGGAGGCCGTGGCGGGTGGATCACGAGGTCAAGAGATCGAGACCATCCTGGTCAACATGGTGAAACCCCGTCTCTACTGAAAATACAAAACGTTATCTGGGCATGGTGGCATACGCCTGTAATCCCAGCTACTCAGGAGGCTGAGGCAGGAGAATTGCCTGAACCCAGGAGGCGGAGGTTGCGGTGAGCCGAGATCGCGCCATTGCACTCCAGCCTGGGTAACATGAGCGAAACTCCGTCTCAAAAAAAAAAAAAAAAAAAGAAAGTGAATGCATAATTCAGATATTAATATTGATGGATATATATTCCTGCAATTTTCCCCTAAATGGCAGCATCCTTTACTTACAGCTGTACTAACATCCTTCACTTAACCGGTGATCTTGGAAACTAGTTCCATATCAAAACACTTAGATCTCCCTCATCTTTATGTATATACGATTCACACATCATAAAACTGACCCTTTAATGTGTACAATTGAGTGGTTTTTAGTATATTCAGAGCTGTGCAACCATCACCACTGTCTGCTTGCAGGACACTTTCATCATCCTAAAAAGAAATCCCACACCCATGAGCAGACACCCCCGCATCCCTTGCCCCAGTCCCTGGCAACCACTAATCTGTCTTCTGTGTCTATGGATTTGTGCAATGTGGGTGTCTCTTATGAATACAATATATGGCCTTTTGTGTCTGCTTCTTTCTCTTAACGTAACGTTGGCAAGCCCCCTCCATGTTGCAGGTTTGTATCAGCACTTTGTTCCTTTATTTATGGGTAATATCTGTTGTATACATATACCACATTTGGTTTAGCCCCTCTTTCTTTTTAACAGCAATGTAGTATTCCACTGATAGGTGTATTTAATTTTTTTTTTTTTCTGAGATGGAGTCTCACCCCATCACCCAGGCTGGAGTGCAGTGGCGCAATCTCAGCTCACTGCAACCTCCACCTCCAGGGTTCAAGCAGTTCTCCTGCTTCAGCCTCCCAAGTAGCTGGGATTACAGGCACATGCCACCACACCTGGCTAATTTTTTGTATCTTTAGTAGAGACGGGATTTCACCATGCTGGCCAGGTTGGTCTCAAAATCCTGACCTCATGATCCACCTGGACTCAAGCAATCCTCCCACCTCAGCCTCCCAAGTAGCTAGGACTATAGGCACGTGTCACCACACCCAGCGAATTTTTGTATTTTTTGTAGAGATGAGGTCTTGCTATGTTCCCCGGGCTGATGTACCTTAATTCACCAGTCTCCTGCAATGGGCATTTAGGTTGCTCCCAGTCTTTTGCTACTACAGACACTACCATTGATTTCCTTGTTTTCTTTGCAAATATACCTGTTAAGAAACTTCCTTGATGTGGAATTGCTGGGTCAAAAGGATATATACTTTTTGGTTTTATATATTTACCAACTGTGTTCCCAGGAGGGGGCACAAGAAGGTGACACTTGCCCCATGCCCTTGCCAACCCATATTATCAAAATTGTTAAGTCCTTACCATCAGCTTTGCGTTGTGATTTTCATTTGAATCTTTTTTTCTCTCTCTTTCTCTTTTTTTTTTTAAGACATGATCTTGCTCAGGTGTGCACCATTTAATGTTTTTTTTTTTTTAGAGATGGGGTCTTGCTATGTTGCCTAGGCTGGTCTTGAACTCCTGATCTTGAGTAATCATTCTGCCATGGCCTGCCAACGTTAGGATCATAGGTGTGAGCCACCACACACAAGCACATTGCTTTTCTTTTGAGTGAAGCCTTTTCATTCTGAGTTAGTCGTCTGTTCACAACTTTTTTTCATTTATCTATTGAATCATTGATCAATTGATTTGTAAGAGCTCTTTATATGTGGAGAAAATTAGCCTTTTTATCTGATTTAGATGTTGCAAAATTTTCCACAATTAATCATATTACGGCTGACATTTAAACAAAATGGGGATTAAGGCATGGTCCCTCTCTTGCACAGTCAAAAATGTGCATGTAACTTTTGATTCCCCAAAAACCTTACCACTGATAGCCTACTGCTGACCAGGGGCTTGATCACAAAAACAGTCAAATAACACATATTTTGCATGTTATATGTATTATATACTGTATTCTCACAATAAAGTAGGCTAGAGAAAAGAAAATGTGGCTAGGTGTGGTGGCTTCTGCCTATAATCCTAGCATTTTGGGGGGCTGAGGTGGAAGGATCATTTGAGTCCAGGAGTTCAAGACCAGCCTGGGCAACATGGCAAGACCCCATCTGTTAAAAATATGACAAAAAATTTTTTAACAAAAATGTTACTAAGAAAATCATAAAGAATACAAAATATATTTGCTATTTATTAAGTAGAAGTGGATCTTCATAAAGGTCTTCATCCTTGTCGTCATGTTGAGCAGGCTGAGGAGGAGGAGGAAGAGTAGCTGGTCTTGCTATCTCAGGGGTGACAGAGGTGGAAGAAAAACCGCATATAAATGGACCCAGCAGTTTAAACCCATGTGGTTCAAGAGTCAGCTGTGCTTTTGTTCTATGCAGAAATTGTGACCTGGTGCAGTGGCTCACAATGTAATCCCAGCATTTTGGGTGGCCAAGGCGGGCGGATCATCTGAGGTCAGGAGTTCGAGACCAGCCTGGCCAACACGGTGAAACCCCATCTCTACTAAAAATACAAAAATTAGCCAGGTATGGTGGTGCGTGTCTGTAATCCCAGCTACTCAGGAGGTTGAGGCAGGAGAATCGCTTGAACCTGGAAGGTGGAGGTTGCAGTGAGCCAAGATTACTCCACTGCACTCCAGTCTGGATGAAAAAGCAAGACTTTGTCTTGAAAACAAAACAAAAAAAAGACATTGTTATGCACAAGATACAAGATGTATCTTGTACGCCTTCTGGAGTTGTATGTGCCCTAGAACTCTTAGAAAGGTTATAAAAAGGGCTCAGCATCTATGCCTATTTATGATCCGTCAGAGGAACCAGACAAATCAACAGATGTCCCCAGCCCAGAAGGCTGTGAGTGGTGAAGCCCAGTGGACATGTGACCCAGTGCTGGTCGTGTGAGACATCCTTCTGGAGGTGGAGTGGGGATGATGTCTGAGCCGAGACTGAAGGGTGAGCTCAGGCAGAGGGGACAGGGTGGGAAAGCCCTGCAGACAGACGGAGAGCACAGGGTGGGCTAGGGAACTGAGATGTGTGGCGTCCCAGGGTCTGGGGACAGTGGGAGGACAAGAGGCTGAGACACCCTCAGTTCTCAGCCTGAGGGGAGCAGGAAGACTGGAAGGTTTTCCTCCCAGGGTTGCTTGGCTCTTCGTACCTTTGGGAAGATCCTAAAGGACTGAGAGCATCACAGAGGACACAGGAGGCTGTTGAGGAGACCGATGCCACATCCCTCAAGGAGGCGGAGGCTGGATGGGATTGGAGACAAGAAATGGACACAGAGAAAGAGGACCCAGACTTAGCCCTGCAGGGCTGGACTGGATGGTGGGGCAGGGACACTCTCTAGTCAGGTCCCCCTCCCCCTATATAGCTGTCCATCCACCTAAGACACCCCAGGACCAAGCCTCAGGTTAGGAATTCATTCCTCCTGGGCCCAAGGGCTCTGTCTGCCTTAAGGGGCTGCCCACACATGATGTATTCCAGCCCCAGGCAGCCCAGAGCCCAAGGGCAGCCATTGCCAGGCACATGGATGAGCAATGGAAGGAGGACGGGCTCCCCACCCTTGGGGGCAAGGGATGGGGGTCTGAGGGAGGCCAGAGTCTGTGCAGTGCTGAAAATGAATGAGGCTCGGGATGGTGGGGGGACTGGTGCATGGTCCTGCCCCCTCTGCCAGGCTCCTACAGGAGCTAAGACCAGCAACCTAGGATCCTCTTCCCAGAGAGTCCCGCTTTCTGTGTCTGTCTCTTTTTCTGTCTCTCTGTCTTTCCATCTGTTTCTTTCTATGAAAGATGAAGACATCTCTCTAGATCACTTCATCTCCCTCTCTCTCTCTGGCTACCTGGCACGCTCTCTTCTGAGAGTCTCGCACTATATCTCTCTGTCTCTGTCTCTGACTCGTTCTCTCTCCTCTCTCCCCACCACTCTCATTCTCCTGCTTCTCAGCACCACCAACACCTCCCTAGAGGTAAAAACCATGCATCCTGGGGCTGTCAGGTGGGGGGGCCCACATGCTTATGGCCCAGCAGGTGCCACCCAGGATTGGCAGGACTGGTGGGCAGCTCCAGGGCCTCTACTCTGAGGGGCTCCTCTGGTCTGCCCTTCCCTCCTGCCAGATCCATCCAAACGCCGGGACTCACAGCTGCCACTTCAGATGCATCCAGCTGGGAGTGAGCTTTACCTCACTGCGCTGGGAGACTAACAGTTTCCCACGCAGAAGGTCTTAGGCCATGTTCCTAGGCTCTGGTCACCAAACATTTCTCTCACCAGCCTGGAATTTCCACTACCAATGATTTAGGGTTTAAATGTCAGGAAGCCACATTAACTCCCCCTCCACCCAACATTAAACATTAAACACGTCAGTCATTCACATTCTAGTAGGAATGAGCCAACAGCTCTTCCCTCTCCCCCTACTTGGGTGAATGCTGCATATGGAGATATTGTTCATCTATTTTTGCAAAAGGGGATGAAAGAGAAGCAGAGGAAGGGACCTGAGAGAAGGCGAGGACAGAGGTGAGGGGGCAGAAACGGGAGGATTTAGGAGAAACTGCCAGAGGAGGGAAGGGGGAAGAAACAGAGTGGTCGCAGGAAAGCCTCCAAGTCCTCACATCACCCCCATTTTCCAGATGGAGAAACTAAGGCCCCAAGAGAAGGGACTCTCTAGATCACACAGAACATCCAGGTCTCTAAACTTCAACAACAGGCACCCCATCCTGCCAGGCTTGCTCATGTCCAGCCCTGTCATTCTGTTATCCTCCCCCTGTACCCCTGTCAAAGATGCAAGACGGGAGATTCCAGAGGAGGACAGGAAGGCCGTCCCGAGACCTCATTCATGACTTTGTGACAGCTTCCTTCCTCTCACCCCTCCCTTCCAGCCCTAGTCCCAGCTCTCTGGGGAAAGAATGAGCTGGGTGAATGAGAAGGGCAGCTCCATGGAGCATAAATAATTCGGCCAGGCAGCCGCAGGCTGTCCAGCTCTCCCAGCGCCCCGACTCTGGCCCTGCAGGTTCCCCCCAGCTCTGAGAGCCGGGGACAGGAGGGCCAAGCTCCCTGACCAAAGGTGCAGAAGCTCACTGGGAAGGCTGAGCCCTTAGGCCCTGTCCTTTGTCTGGTTAGCAGCTTTGAAGGCTGTGGCCTTACACAGTCCCTTCCCTTTCATGGCATCCAGGTACTGCCCTGGCCATCAGGCCTGGGCCCCTGGGGGCTGCAGCCATGGGCTCTGGGTGTCCCTTGGGCTGCTTCCTCACCTATGGAGCAGGCACATTATGGGAAGAGTGCCTGGGCTCCCATGAGCCCGTGTGCACAGGGCTGATATGATGGGGCATCTCCGAGCGGGAGAGACAGCCCTGTGGGACACAGCGGGAGGAGAGTCCCTTAGCTCTGGCCCTGAGGGACTTCACAGGGGAAGGAGGCTGCAGCCCAGGTTGTTTGTTAAGAGGATAAAACATTTCCTGTTTGGACTAGGCCTAGATGGATGTGTCAGTGAATCTGCCCCAGACGGGCTCTTTCCCGGATCCCATGCCCTGCCCCAGGAGGGTGTCTGTGTGTGTCCCCGTGGTCCACGTGGGCATGGGTCCAGATCTGGGTATGTGACCATGCGTTCTCTCTGGCCTCATCAGCCCCAAGATGGGACCCCAAATCTGAGCCAAGTTATCCCTTACCCCAAAGAAGCCACCTTCAGGGCTCAGTGGGGGGGCGGGGGGTGGTAGTGGCAGTGTGGTCTGGTGGGTAAGCTCATAGGCAGGTGCCCTTCACTCACTGGCCGTGAGCCCCACACCTGGGGACAGTAAGGCTGCCTCCCGGGTGGTGGAGAGGACCGCAGCAGACAATACAAGCAAAATGCTTAGCACAGCGCTTGGCGCACAGTCAGCGCTCGGGAACGGAAGCCGCTGTCGTTACTGGCGGTTGTGGTCTGGTCTTGGCAGTGAAAAGGACCAGGCTCCCAGCAGGGAGGCTCCGCCTGCAGGGACAGGCCCTGAGACCTCAAGTCAGCCGGCCCCTCTCCTCTCAGTTTCAGCAAACACTGAAACCTCAAATAACCAAAACCCCAGGCCCCCGTGGCATTTCCTGCCTTTCCACCACTCAACTAGGAAAGAGGACCAGAAAGCAGGCTGTCATCCACCAGGAAAGTGAGCCCTTAAACGGAGCTTCAGCTGTCCCCAGGGCCGCCAAAGAGAGACCTGAAGCTTTCATACTTTCCCAGATGCTCAGACTCTTGAGCCAGAGGGACCTTAAAAAGGTCCTATGCGAGAGAGTCGCTTGAGGCCAGAAGTTCGAGACCAGCCTGATCAATAGAGCAAGACCCCGCATCTACAAAAAAATATTAAAAAGGCCAGGTGCAGTGGCTCACGCCTGTAATCCCAGCACTTTGGGAGGCTGAGGTGGGCAGACGACCTGAGGTCAGAAGTTTGAGACCAGCCTGGCCAACACGGTGAAACCCTGTCTCTACTGAAAATACAAAACATTAGCTGGGGGTGGTGACGTGCACCTGTAATCCCAGCTACTTGGGAGGCTGAGACAGGAGAATCACTGGAACCCTGGAGGCAGAGGCTGCAGTGAGCCAAGATCACGCCACTGTATTCCAGCCTAGGCAGCAGAGCAAGCCTCCATCTAAAAAAAAAAAAGAGCCGGATGTGCTGTCACACACCTGTAGTCCTAGCTAATCAGGAGGCTGAGGCAGGAGAATCGCTTGACCCCAGGAGGTTGAGGCTGCAGTGAGCCGAGATCGCACCACTGCACTCCAGCCTGGGAGACAGTGTGAGACCCTGTCTAAAAATAACAAAACACAAAGGTCCCTTGCCTTGTTTTTTCAGGCAAAGAAATGAGGTTCAGAGAGGGGAAGTGACTTGTCTCAAGTCACACAGCTCCCAGAGGTTGCTCTGGAATTGACATGCAGGCCTGCAGGTCACGGAGCTTGTGGGGTGGTAACCATCAGGTCACACAGCCACAGGGTCTGTCTATAGTGATAAATACATACCCTGGACCCAGGAGTCCCAGCCTCAGCAAGCATAGGCCCGTCTCCCATGTGAAAATGTTAACAGCTTTTACCAGGAGAAGAAATTCTGCAGTGGCCTGAGTCTGCCACAAGTTTGGTGGTATTGGTTAAGAAATGTGGACGTCATTAATGATAGGAGCATCTCAGACATGTTGCAAACAGACCCAGCAGTGCCTCCTCCTCCTGTGGCACTTAGTGGGCATCCCGGACACCTCTCAGCCCCTCCAAGGCACTACCCGGTGCTTCTCCTGCGTGTTAAACAGCTGCCTGTTTGAGCTTCCTAAACAGCTCATAGCACCCCGTGGGGTGATGGGTTTGATCTGGGCTCCTTGACGGGGGCTTCAGACAGGACTGGCATCCTCTTGGGGGCACCACCCCTCAGGAGTGATAAATTATCAGGGTGTTAAGTCATTGATCCAGCTGTGTCAAAAACAAGGGCTAACCACAGAGGTACGAAGCTGCATTTCTTGGGGGTCAGAGAGATGGCACAGGAGGTGCCCTAAAATTTTACGTGAAAAGGAGGGCAACAGCTCCCCAAGGGGGAAACATTGGCACCATGGTAATGTCATTGCGGGGAGTGGGAACCCGTGGGGGACCATGTGAAACCTGGGGGAGTGGGTGACGGCGTTACCACGATCTCAATCTTCCCACATTCCTGTAAGGAACATACAACTGTCTTCCTTGCAAAATAAAAACTGAGGCTCGGAAAGGGGCAGGACTTGCCTGAGCTAACTGGAGCAGAAGTGGCAGAGGCAGGATTTGAGCCCAGCTCTCACTACCTGTCCCTTGGGACAGGGCATCTGCTTCCTCTGTGTGGACACATTGGTGATGGATCCCCCGTCCAGCCTGCCTGCCTGCCTATGGTGGCCTATGCTGCCTGCCCCTGGTGAGTCCAGGAGGGGCAATGCAGTGACTGGCAGATGCTTTCTGGGGAGTGTTTCTAGCAGGGACTGTGGGTCTGGATAAGCCATAGCAGGAAGGAGCCAAGCTGGGCAAGGGCTTCCCCAGCCCAGGCCTATCTGCCTGCTGCTCATCCACCCAGGCAGAAGGCGGGGTTAGAGACTGTCCTGGGAGGTTGGGGGTCTAGGTCCTCTCTGATGAGAGTTCTGGTCCCTCCCCATAAACACACACTCCTGTCACAGACACATAACACACATGCACACAAATCTACATCATGCATGCACACACATCCATCATACACACCACACACACATGCATCCCCCCCGCCCCTGACACCAAACACACACACTACACTTACATATACCTTTGTGGGATACAGAGCCCTTCCCCCAGAAGAAACCACTCAACACCAATTCTTACTTTGTTACATATGGTGAAATCAGTGCTGTGGTTAAGAGCTGATACTCTCCGAAGTCAGGACATCTAGGTTCAAATTCTGGCTCTGCCAAACCCCTGCCAGGGTGCTTTAGGTAAATGACAGCTCCTCTTTGTGCCTTGGTTTCTACACCTGTAAAATGAGAATAAGAACGGACCCTGCACTCATGGTGTCAGCCCAGCTCTCCTCCTAGGGAGACTGTGAGTGTCTGGGCCTCAGTTTTCTCTTCTGTAAAATGGGGATATTGTGCCCAGCTCGACGAGCAGAGTGGCTTGAAGATTCACCTGAGACAGAATGTGAGGTGGCCGCAGTGAGGTGCCCAGTACGCATGGTGCACACTGCTCAGGAAGTTTACTTGGAGGGCTGGATCCCGCAAAGGTGTTGAAAAAGGATGAGTCCCCGGTATCGTTCGCTCAGGTGAGGTGGGTTCGGGTCCCGGCCGCGTTTGGGACCGTGGCCCGGGCCTCGGTTTCCCAGTTTATATCCTGCGGGAGGACACCTCGGAGCTGGCACCCCGCCTCCCAAAGAGCCCCGCGGGGCAAGGTGAAGGGCGTGGAGCTCAGGTGGACACCTGGCGGGCGTCCTGATGGGGGCGACCGGGCCCCTCGGGGCTCCTTCCGGGTTGGCAGTGGCGGCGCAGGGGGCGGGGGCCGCGCTGAGGGGCCGGGCGAGGCAGGGAACGCGCGCCCCCGTCCCCGCCCGCCCTCCCTCCAGCCGCCGCGCTGGGAACCAGGCTCCGCGCGTCTGGGGCGGCTGGCAGCACGGGCAGGCGGACGGGCCGGCAGGCTGGGGGCGGCGACAGCGAAGGGCCGCGCGCGGAGGGCGCCGGGCGCAGCATGGGCGGCCCGCGGGCGTGGGCACTGCTCTGCCTCGGGCTCCTGCTCCCGGGAGGCGGCGCTGCTTGGAGCCTCGGGGCAGCCCAGTTCTCCGGACGCAGGTAAGGACTCCCGGCGCCTCTGCGCCCAGCTGGCCGGGGGTCCCGGGGCGCACACGCCCCCGCCTCCGGGCAGGGCCGGGATCGGGAGAGCAACTCAGTCCCCAGCCTCAGTGCCAGCCCGGGTGAGGGCAGGGACACCGCCATCCCGCGGTCTCGCTGAGGCTCCTGGAGTGCGGGGTCCCCTGTCCCATGTGTCGGAGCTGGCCGCCTCCCTCACTCCCTCCTTTTCAACCCTGGGGCCGGAGAGAAGAGTGAAGCCTTGGCCCTTCTGTCGCCTTGTTCCTAGGGCCTCTCCCCCTGCACTTGGGAAAGGTCCATGACACCCCCTAGCTGACCCTTCGAGGACCTCTCTCCCCTTTTCCCTGTTCCTGGGACCCCCTGTCCCCTTTTCCGTGTTCCTGTTTTTTTGTTTGTTTGTTTGTTTTAAAGTACCAAGCTATTTCTCTCCTTCCGAGGAGGGACTGGGGTGGAGTCTCACAGCCCAGTGGGTCAGTGTCAGAGGCTCCCCTGGGACCTGGCATTTTGGACAGAGACAAGAGGGAGCACTATCTTCCTGCTGCTCTCCTACCAGCAGGGACCCTCCTCCCTCCTCCTCTTTATGGAGGAGCTCCCAGAACCTGATGTGGTGGGACCCATTATTGTATATAGTGTCCTCATTAATCCTTCAAGGACCGAATGAGGTAGGGAAAACTGTCCCCATTCAACGGATAAGCAGACTGAGGTCCCGGGGAATTGGCATCATGTTTCAGACTCATGAGGTAGTCACTGATGAGCCAGGTTGCATATCTGCCTTTCTGTCCTTGATGACAGTGTTTGAACCTGCCCTGGCCCCTGTTCTGGCTGCAGCCCCCGCCAGGGTCCCCTCTTAAAGGCCAGCCATCGTCCAAGGCAGACAATGTGGACTAGCCAGGCCTCTCCAGGCCCTTTCATCCCATTCAAAGGCCTGCGCAGCCCCCACCCCCTACGGCCTCAATTCTTTAATTCTTTTCAGAAATTCTCCTTTCTCAGTGGTCAGGGGCCAGCATGCCCCTGCTGGGCTAGCAAGAGTGGTTGACATGGGCAGTGCTGGAGGACAGAGGTGGCTGAGGTATCAGAGGCCAGAAGAGCAGTTGTCTGAGCCAGGGATGGCGGTGTGGCAGATGTCACAGCCACCACCTATTGTGTGCAGACCACAGCTAGCCTGGGTCGGCCCCTTTACCTGCATTATCAGCTCTAGAATCTTCCCAGCTGCTTGGAGGCGTGCTTTTTATGATTCTGTTTCATGGAGGAGGAAGGTGAGGCCCAGAGAGGGAATATGACCTGCCCAGAGGACGGATGTGAGCCACCAGGATCCCAGATGCTAAGAGGACAGAGTGTGAACTCAGAAATCCACTGTCATGCTCAGGATGATGGAGGCGACAGCTTAAGGCCCAGACTGCCCTGTGGCCAGTCCAAGGCAGGGCTTCCCGGCCTGAGCTCCTCATCTCCCAGGGTCTCCTGGGTGGGAGCAGGTATCTGGTGGTCACTGAGGACTGTTGCCCCGTGTGTTCACAGAAGGCTGTTACAGTGGCCGGAGCATCACAAAAACCCTGTGGGCAATGCTGTTGCACCCACTGTACAGATAAGGAGATTGAGGCCTAGAGAGGAAAAGTGGCACCTCAATCCAGGCCATTCAATTTCCAAATTCAGTGGCTTTTTCTCCCTAGCAGCCCTCTGGGAGGAGGGAAAGAGATTGTTGGCTTGGGGGCACCAGGAAAAGTTTGTAGTCGTGGTTAGGAGTTAGGGGCTCTGGCCTTGGACAGAATGGGGACAGAATTCCTTACTTTGTTATGGATCTGATGTGTGACCTCAAATGGGTCACTTCCTGGCCATGGTTCTCAGTTTTGCTCTCTGTTTCCTTCTTTCCTTGTGGGAAGGACCAGCACCACGCCTCACCTGCAGCGGTTCTATCAACCATGTCACATGGGGGTAGGGACATGGAGATTGAGAAGTCTGTGGGGCTACTAGGACCTCCACTTGTGGCCCTGTCCCCGCGTTACTGGAGACAGAATGGGAATGTTGTGCCCCATCAGCCTTCCTGCCACCCACAGTCCAGCACCCCAGGCACCCCTTGGCAGCCAAGGGACCAGAGGCAGAAAAGAGGCATTGTCCTGGGGAAGGGATGGCCTGGGAAGGCATCCAGGGGGCCGCCCCCAGCCCCAGGAATGTGGTAACACTTGGAGACCCCCGGAACCAGGGTGCCCAAGGGCTATGCAGAGCTGCCTTGGCTTGCCCCCGCCCCTGCCAGCCCCCCATTCCCTGCTAGAGCGGCTTCCTGCCCCACTGAGGTCCTTCCAAGCCTGGAGCCTGCTTCCTTTAACCACTCATGTCAGCGCTTCAGCTGAGGGTTCAAGCCATCACCAGCCCAGACCTCTTGCCCCTGCAGCACTGGCATCCTTTGGGCAAAGCCTAGGATCAGGGAGAATGGAGGGCTCTAAAACAGAGGGGATCTGCCCAGCCTTTCTCTAGGGGCTCCAATCTCAGCTGATGCCCACAGGTGACCTGGGTAGGTGCTTTCTCTTGGAGCCTCAGTTTCTCCTTCTATCAAATGCAGAACCTGATAATCCCTATTCCAAGGGGAAGGACACTATGCTGGTGTCCCCAAGCCCCAGGCAAGCTCTAGGACCACAGCTGCGGGGTGTGGGGCCCATGTCTGGGCCTTAGCCCCACAGTCCAGGAACAGGAATGAACAATAGCTGTTAGCGCCGTGCTAAGGGCTTTGAGTGAAGCCTCCCCTGCTGGAGGAGATTCTGCTGTCCCCATTTGCAGATGGACAAAGTGAGGTCCAGAAAGGGTCAGGGCCTTGCCCAAGGTCACCGATTTAGGAAGCAGCAGAGCCAGGACTGGAACTCCGCCCCACTGCAGGGCTCTGGCTCCCATCACACCGCCCCCGCCCGCCAGGCTCCTTTCTTTCCTCTCCTTTTCATCACGGCCCTTGGCCCCCGGCCTGCTTGGCTGCCTCCTGCAATTAGCCCCTATCACTGTTCCAGATCACAGCCCTGGGACCTACAGAGACAAAGTCCCCTGGGCCCCTCGTGGCAGGGGGTGGAGTGTAGGTGTAGGTAGGGGGCCCTCATGGGGGTGGCCAGTGCCAGGCTGAGCTGGTCTGGCCTGTTTCTCCCCTCCTGGAGGCCTCTGGGGGTCTAGAGGTGCTGAGTGGGCAGAAGTGGAGGGCCCAGGAGGGAAGTGCCACCTCTTCCCAGCCCCTGCCCTCACCCACCCCACTGCGCAGCCTCTTCCAGCTCTCGGGCAGCTTATCAATGACCACATCCCAGGGAAGGAAGACCCCAGGGGCTGCAGAGATGGAGCACATGGGGATGGGTCCCTTCATCTGTGGAAACCTCAAGTCCTGGCTCTTCTGTCCAGAGCTGCTGCCTGTTCTCCATCATTCAGTCATTCAACAAACATCACTGAGTGTCCTCAGGCTGAGCCCTATGCAAACTTGGTCCTAGCTCATATCCTCCCCCAGCACCTGCATGAGCGAGTGAAGACCAGGGCTATTGTGAGTAGCTAACGGGTGCCCTGGGAGATGCCCAACCCCTGCCTGGGCCTTAGGGCTGAGACCCAAAGAATGAATAAGAGTTTGCCAGAGCAAGAGGGAGGGGCTTTCCAGGCAGAGGGATCCTCATATGCTAAGATCAGAGGTGGGAGAAGTGGCTGCATGAATGTGCGGGAGAGGCGAGCAGCATAAAAAGTGAAGGATAGGGCTTGCAGAGCCACAGTGTGCTGTGGACTCCACAGTGGATGGTGGCAGCATTAGGTCTGTGCTTTAGAAAGAGCCTCCTGCTACCCCTGGAAGGTGCATAGAGGAGCAGGAGGGTGGCAGGGCCAGGCTGGGTCCCTGTGGAGGAGCTCAGGCTGATGCTAGGTGTCCTGCGACTGGGGTCCTCAAGGTGGGGGATGGGGTGGTTATTAGTGATCCCCTTGTCGGGGGGACAAGGGACTGAACTTGAACTCCAGCTGGCATGAATGTCCTCTCCTGTCCAATAGGTCTGGCCAGCCAGCCACCAGCTCCATGTCTCCTAAGGAGAGGATTCAAGCACTGTCCAGATTGTGGCAACCGGGCAGGGACCCACATGGGGAAGATTTTTTTTTTTTTTTTAAGAGAAAAGGTGTCACTCTGTTACTCAGGCTGTAGTGCAGTGGCATGATTATAGCTCTCTGCAGCCTCAAACTCCCAAGCTGAAGCGATCCTCCCGCTTCAGCCTCCCAAGTAGCTAGGACTACAGGCACGCACCAATGGTAGAGATTTTAATTAAGGAAGAAGAAGGAAAAAAAATTTTTTTTTCTCTGGCTCCCTTGTGGTAAAAAGGACAGCTCTGGCCATTGTGGACCATCACAGGCCACCTCTCCCGGACTAGTCCAGGAGCTGGGCATTTGGGGGTGGTGTCCACATGTGTGCTGTATAGATATGTGTGAGAAGAAGTGACTTGCTGGGCTTGCCGTCACCTGTCCGTGTGCATGTGAGAATGTGTGTGTGTGTGTGCGTACACGTGTGCACGTGTATGCATGGGTGTACATGAAAGAGCACTGCGGGTCCCTGTATGAACATGTGCAGAGATCATAACTTCAGCCTATCTGCGTCCAGGTGAGAGGGCATGTGTTTGTGTGTGTGTGTGTGTGTGTGTGTGTGCAGGTGCGGGTGTGGGTGTGTCAGTGGGTGTGCAA